ATTGGAGACCCATATCTTTCATTCTTCTTTACCCATTTTGTCCAGCCCCTTCACTCTCCTCTCCTCTGGCCACCATCAATTTGTTCTCTGTATTTATAGTTCTGATTCTACTTTTTGTTTGTTCATTTTTTAAAGATTCCATTTGTAAGTGGAATAATATGGTATTTGTCTTTCTCAGTCTGACTTATTTCACTTAGCATAATACCCTCTAGGTCCATTTATGTTGTCTCAAATGGCATGATCTCATCCTTTTTTATGGCTGCATAATATATGTGTGTGTGTGTGTGTGTGTGTGTATACACCACATCCTCCTTATTCATTCATCTATTGATGGACACTTAGGTTGCCTCCAAGTCTTGGCTGTTTTAAATAATGCTATAATAAACATAGGGGTGTATAGATCTTATTGAGTTAGTGTTTTCATTTTCCTTGGGTAAATACTCCCCAGTAGTGGAATTACTGGATAATACAGCATTTTAAAAGATTTCTTTTATTTATTTGAGGAAGTGAGAGACTTTGAGCAGGGGGAGAGAGAGGAGCAGAAGGAGAAACAGACTCCCTGCTGAGTGAGGAGTCTGATGTGGGGCTCAGTCCCAGGACCCTGAGATCATGACCTGAGCCAAAGTCAGATGCTTAACCGAATGAGCCACTCAGGTGCCCCTATATGGTATTTCTATTTTTAATTTTTTGAGCAACCTCCATACTGTTATTTACAGTGGCTGTACCAGTTTACATTCTCAGCAGCAGTACGTGAGGGTTCCTTTTTCGCCACATTCTCACCAACACTTGTTGTTTCTTACCTTCTTAATTTTAGCCAATCTGACAGGTGGGAGGTGATATCTCATTGTGGTTTTGATTTTCATTTCCCTGATAAGTGATGTTGAATGTCCTTTCATATGTCTGTTGACCAATTGTGGAAAAATGTCTATTTGGGCCTCTGCCCTTTTTTAGTTGGTCAGTCCACTAGCAGTTAAAGTAGCCATTGATTGGTTAGTAATAACTAATGTCATTTATTATTTTCTGGCTGTTTTATACTACCTTTGTTAATCTCTTCCTCTCTCTTGTGAATTGGTGATTTTTCACCGTGGTATATTTTTATACCTTTTACCCCTTGTGTATCTTTTGTGTAGGTTTTGCTTTGTGACTTTTGTGTAGGTTTTGCTTTGTGACTACCAAGACTACATATAATGTCTTAGATATCTAATAATCTATTTCAAAATGATGAAATTTTTGCATACAAAACTCCACACTTTTCTTCCCCCAAATTTTATGTTTTTGTCATCACAACGTACCTCTGTTTATATTGGGCATACATTTACCAAATTATTATAGGTATAATTATTTTCAATATTTGCATCCTTTATACTAGAGTCAAGTAATTAACACACCGCCACATTACAGTATCCTGATATTAACTGTGTGCTCATTAGTGTGACTTATATTTCCTACGTTCTCATGTTACTAATTGGCACCCTTTCATTTTCACTTGATAAACTACTTTTAGCATTTCTTATAAGGAAGGTCTTGTGATGATAAACTCCCTCAGCTTTTATTTGTTTGAGAAAGTCTTTACCTCTCCTTCATTTCTATAGTGCAACTTTTCCAGTTCAAATATTCATGGTTAGCAATTGTTTTCTCCCAGCATTTTATATGTGTGTGTGTGTGTGTGTGTGTATTTTTTTTCCATTTTTTTCTCAGCCTGCAAAATTTCTGATGAGGCATCTGCTGATATATAACATAAAATAATTATATTTATAATAATTTGTGATATATGCCAAATATAAACTTACAGAGGTTCCCTTCTATGTGGGAATTTCTTTTTCTGTTGATTTTATTTTTTATTTTTATTTTAGTTCCAGTGTAGTTAACATACAGTGTTATATTAGGTTTAGGTGTACAATATAGTGATTCAACACTTCTATGTATTTCTTAGTGCTCAACAAGATTAAGTGTATGTGTAATCTCTTTGATCTGTTTCACTAACCTCCTCTCCGGTAACCATGAGTTTGTTCTCTAGAGTTAAGAGTCTGTTTCTTGGTTTGTCTTTCTTTTTTTCCTTTGCTCATTTGTTTCTTAAATTCTACATATGAGTGATATCATATGGTATTTGTCTTTCTCTGACTTATTTTGCTTATCTTTATATTTTTTAGTTCCATCAATGTTGTTGCAAATGGCAAGATTTCATTCTTTTTATGGCTCAATATTATTCCATTGTGTATATACACCACATCTTTATCCATTCATTTATTGATGGACCGTTGGGTTGCTGCCATAATTTGGCTATTGTAAATAATGCTGCTAAACACATGGGGGTTCATGTATCCCTTTGAATTTTTTTTTGTATTTTTTGTATTTTTTGTTTTTTAAACACCCCGGGTAGTTCTGATTTTAACTTTTTGAGGAACCCTCATACTGTTGTCCACAGTGACTGCACCAGTTTGCATTCCCACAATAGTGCAAGAGGATTCCCTTTTCTCTACATCCCTGAGCCTTCTAAGTAGAGGGCACACTAGTAGGATGGTTAAAACTGAAGTAGGTGCAAGCTGGGGTGTCCTGGGATGCTCCATGCAGGGGGTAGTCTGGAGCCAAAGGAGGGATGGTCCTAGAGGGTTCAAGGGCACTCTGTGCAGAGGGAGGCATTGCGGGGGTGCCCCTGGCAAGTTGTCTAGAGGTGAAGTGATTCAGGCCTAAAGCGTTCTGGGATGTTTTGTGTCTTGATGACTGCTGGCCAGGGGTGTTGTGGTATGTGCTGCACTGGCTCCCTTTTCATAGGATGGCTGGGGCTGGTATAGAAGTAGGTCAGCTATGGCAGCCACATTCCCTCTGTGCTATTAAGGTAGAGGATGAACATAAACCACAGTCCTCACTAGCCCCTCTGATCCAGAGTGAGTTCTAGTAGCTCCCCCACTGTTTGGCAGGGTCCCAGAGCTAGATCTTTTTTATCCTAGTTGCCCTTTTAAACCACAGCCTTTATTCTTTGCCCCAGGCAGACAAATCTGCTCCCTGTTCCTTAGGACTATCCTTCCCCACTGCAGTTCACAGTGTTGGGGCTGGGGTCCCCTTCAGTACCATGTCTCCCTCTCTCTTGCTGTTCTCTATGTGGTCTCTCTCTCCTTTGCTGTGCCCTCCATTCTTTAATTCTCTAATTTCTATAGATGTGTGTGTCTGTGAAGGAGGTGAGTTCAGGGTCTTCCTATGTTGTTGTCTTGGGAACACCTTCGTTTATAATTTTTTTCATAAGAACTTGGATATTGTGTAGCATTTATTTATTCATTTATTCATTCGATAAATATCTACTGATTGTCTACTGCAGACCAGGCACTTTTCTAAGTGTTAGATATTCTGGTGATCAAGACAAAATACTGGCCTTTGCCAGAGTTTATCTTCCAGTGTGTGTGTGTGTGTGTGTGTGTGTGTGTGTGTGTGTGTGTGTGTGTGTGTGGCAGGGGAGTGCAAATAATATACAAGAAGAGTAAAACATGTAGTGTGTTATATTATGATAAAAGATGGGGGAAAGTCAAGTATGGGGGCACCTGGGTGGTTCAGTAGTTGAGTACCTGCCTTTGGCTCAGGTCATGATCCAGGGGTCCTGGGATTGTGTCCCTCTGCCTGTGTTTCTGCCTCTCTTTGTGTCTCTCATGAATAAATAAATAAAATCTTAAAAAGGAAAAGCATGGAAAGAGATTAAGAGTTGAGGGGTTATACTGAATTTTATGTTGGTTGGCCAGAGGAAACCTGGCCAATACAGATCTATGGAGGAAAGGATTCAAGTCAGAGGAGCAGCAAGAGCAGGGCCTTGAGATGAAAACATCTGGGGTGCCTGAGACACTCCAGGGAGACTAGAGAAGCAGAGTACAGAAAGAGAAAGTTGTCTCTTTGCTTCTCCACTGTACCATCATATTGTACAGGTCATTCAAATATTTGTACATAGTAACATTCAAATATGTATTGAGTAATGAATTTGGATTTTTCTTCCCCTTCAAAGGGACAAATCAGTATAATGAATGACTGGCAGGATATGTGAAGAGAAGGGGCAAAGCCAGATGACTTCACAGCTAGGTGTATATGTAGGGGCTAAGTGTATGGTGGGGAAGAAAGAGTGGTTTGGGTGGAGAAGGATAGAATAGAGTATGTTTTGAGATGGGGTTGTTGGCTAAGCAGTTGGAAACACAAATTTGCTGCTTAATAAAGGGAAGAGAGAAATTTGGGAGTTAACACAGTTGAAGGCATAGGACTGGTGAGGTCCTCCAGGGAGGATGGGCTTGGGACAGGGTCGTGACGTAGGAATGCAGAAAGAGGGATGAATTCATTCTGTATGCAGGACCTTGGCCTTTGGTGATGGAAGAGAGATGGGAGGAAGGTAAGGAAAAGCAGGAGTTGGGCCTAATTCTAGGCCTCTATTGACAATGGTGGGGCCATTGATAAGTTTGGGGGGGCTCACATAGGAACAAGGACATGTTTGGGATAAAAGTGAGCATCAATGGAAAATATTTAGTAAATGCCAAATTGAAAGAGGATCTATATTTAAATCTCATAAACTGAGGTCTCCAAGTTTAGCTAGTGAGGAGCCAGCATGACTTCATTTATAAGGCAGCCCTAAAGCTCTAGTGTCGCCAGCAGGTGACGCACCTTGCGGGGTGATCTCCTGAGCTTCGCATCTGCTCAGATACCTTTCTCCCTTGCCATTTAGCCTGAGCCCTAGCAGTGTTGATGCTACATCCACTACTGTTTTGAGTCCATCTGTACTTTGCTAAGCAGATCATTCCTAAATGTTACAGAGCTCATCAAAGGGATGTCCGTTCCCCTGTGTCCTCTTTCAGGCATCAGCAGACTTCGTGCTTTGATACTCGGGCTGTTCTTTGAATGATAATTCCTTAATAACCGGGAACAAGTTTTGCTTGCTACTTATCAAAGTTAGGTATTAACTGGTGGAAAGAGGACAAGATAAAATTGGGACAAGAGGAACGTGTGTGTGGTTATTGTGCTGTGCTTGCTTTCAGACCTATCAGATGGCAGCTTTGCTAAGTCAAAACAGTCAAAATTGGAAGAAGGGTCTGCTCCAGAGCCTCTCTCCTCAGTGACAGAAGAGACAGATTTAGCAGGTAACATTATGTGCCCAACCAGCCATTCAAGCAGGACTGTGATAAATCTGTAAGCACTGAATGTCCCAGCACTCACTCCAAGAGGGTTATGGCTTGAAGATCAGAGGAGTTGCAGAACTCTAAAAGCTAAGCATTTTGTCCTTTCAAAGCCAAGAAAATTGTTGCACAAATTATAGATAAAGGCAAACAAGCACCGTGTCCTTGTAGCATTTTGATTTTGCCTCTTCACTCCTCTTTATGACAATTTTCAGGGCCTCAGGTTCTCAAACTTCTAGATCTCTGCTTGGGTTGGTAGTTATTGACCAAGTTTTTGTAAGAAAGATCTACTCTATACCAATGAAGGAGAATGATCCAAAGCATCTGCATATGTGGGGTTGGCCTTCTGCTAAATGATGTTACTCTGTTTCAAAATGGGAGGCCCCAAGAGGTCAAATTGGGAAGCCCAGGGGTACTAGCAGTTGGTGGTTAAGAACCAGTCAGCCTGGGTTCCAATCCTGGCACTGTTGGTGTGAGCTTGCACAACTTATTTGCTCCCTCTGTTCAATAAGCACAACAATAGTGCCTACTTCACATGGTTTTGTGAGGATTAAATAAGTCAATACCTACAAATATCTTAGAATAGTATCAGAGCCCTCATGGGCCCTCATAAAATGCTGGGCACCCAGAGGCCATGATGCCAATGTTACCCCCATAGATATGTCCTTCCCATCATGTCCTCATTAAAACCTCCTGCAACACCTCCTTCAGGCTGCTGCTTAGACATAATAGCAGGTGCTCCAATTTAAAGTTCTGGGAAAGTTAGAATGAAATGAGCACTTACCAGAGAGTGAGTTTTGATGGGAAGCAGCATGAGGTGCTCACCGTGAGGATTTGATGCTTCAGGTGGGCCTTGTAGGCCAGAGTCAGGCTCCACTGAGGCTACTACCATGGATCGTACCTGTGCCTCTGACTGACTCTCCATCCTCTGGGCAGCTGATGGCCTGAGCACATCTACTTTGAGCACTGTGTTAGCTTTATCTAATGTTCTATTTTTATTATTCAGAAGGCATTGCTGCTCCATCCCTAGCAGTTGTGCCAGAGAACTTGAATGATTCTGCTGTTATCACAGCCCTGGAAAACTTCACTCAAGAACTGAAAAGAAAATCTGAGGTAATGGTTCACTAAAAATGAAGAGCTAGCTTGTTATGAGCTTAAAGTAACAAGTTCATATTATTCATCAGTACTATTGTTGCTCCTGAGGCTTTGGGGGGGGGGTGGAGATATGTTTGCCACTGACTTTAGTGCCTTTGTAAACTGTGGCTTGCATCTATAAGATAGCTATTCCATGTCCGTTCGCTATAGGGGGGCCGGATGGGCCTCTGTGGAAATCAGACTCATGATTTGGTTTCAGGGATAGCCACTCTCAGACCACGGAAGCACCTGGAAGCCATGATTTGGTCATAACGATAGACAAGGAGGAGAGGGGATCATGTGGATGAGAGGGATGTCCTGGGCAAAGGTGGAGGTGGACTTTGGGTGGACGGTCAACTGAGTGGTGGCAATTCTTTGACCAGTGCATATGCAGGCTATCCCAAAATCTTGTCTGCAAGATGAACTTTGGAAGCATTTCAGTGTCCTCCTTTTATGTCCTATTGTTTATAAATCTTTATAAACTTTTTATGAAAGAGTTATTTATTAGCACATTCAGGGAAAGAACCTTACCCTGACATATATTCATTTAACTAATTTAGGACATCTCCAAAGTCTGATCCTATTTTCTGCAATACCAATGTAAGCTAGTTTATAATGGAAATTTGTTCAAAATATTCAATATGTGTTTTGATAGCATGAATATAAGTTTTCCTATTTTAGCTTATTGTTCTTTATTGGTACTGAACCTGAGGTAATACATAGCAAGTGTGTAGCATGGTATCCCATCACAATTGTTTAGCAGTCATGTTTGCTAAGAATTTTAGGTACTGGCAGCATCTTTTTCACACAAAGCCTGAACTCCATTTCTGTAGTTATGGTTAATTCAAACGTGATCATTTTGTTTTTGTTGTTATGGTTTAGCTTAGGTACAGAGGGAGTCCACTTTATTCAAATAATGCAAAGCAAGCACCAGATTGCTTAATCCAGCTTTTAAACCAGATACACCAATGCAGGTAAGTGTTGGGTTTCGAATCAAGTTCATAAAAGTGTGTGGCTCACAAACATTTGTGTCGTGACCACCGTGCTAGAGTCGTTGAGGAACTGAAGCTTGAGAAGATGTTAGGTTGGTACATTACCTAACCTGTCTAGGTTTCTTGTTCTTCATTCATAAGATGTTGGGGGAAGGCCTGCCTCAAGCTTCTTCATGATCTACCATGCTATGATCCTAAAACACTATTTAAAAAATTTTTACAATCCAGTAATGGGGACAGAGTAAGCACGTATATATATATGTGTGTGTGTAAAAATGCTGGGTGTCATACCTATACAGTGGAATATTATTCAGCCTTAAGGAGGAAGAACCTACATCCTACATCAAGGATGAACCTCGAAGACATTATGCACAGTGAAATAAGCCACATACAAAAGGACAAGTAATTGCATGATTTCAGTATATGAGGTACTTAGGATAGGCAAATTCCTAGAGAAGGAAAGTAGAATAGGGATTACCAGGGGCTGAGGCCATAGGAAATAAGAAGTTATTGTTTAATCAGTGTGGAGTTTGTTCAGATGATAGAAAAGTTCCAGAGACGAATGGTGGTGATGGCTGCACAACATTGTGAATGTACTTAATGCTACTGAATTGTACCCTTAAAAATTCCTAAAAGTGAAATTTGATGTTATATATATAGATATTGCTACAATAAAAAATGCTAGGCACTCCCACATAACGCATGCACATGTACACAAACACCCTGATGACCATGGAGCAAGAGGGACAAAGGTGCAAGATTTCAGAGAGATATGAAGGATAAGAAAGATGAGTGGAGATGGGGTTCTGTGGCGATTAGAGTTAATCCAGAACCATTACAATGGAAGTGCTTCTGTAGCAAGATTTTGGAAACAAAGGTTTGAATGGTGTAGGGAAGGTATGTGTAGAGATTGTTCCTTGTTGGAGAGAATGGCCTGCAGATGAAAGACAGGAAGAAAATAACGGTGGGTTGGTTAGCTTAACTGAGGGAGCAAGTTTCTTAGGGCAGAAAATATAATGTCAATGAGAATTTGATTTTTTTCAAACTTTTGTACATGCAATGCCATTTAATTCTCAGAACAAACCCATGCAGGGCTTTGGACTTGTGGAACTTCCATTATTTTTTAGGAGTTATTTATTTTCCATGTTTCATTCAGCAAATACACACTGAGTAGCACTAGGTGCCAGATCCAGTGCTAAGTACAGGACAGCAGTGCCAACAAGCTTTAGGAGCTTCTTGCCTCATAGAGCTTTCAGCCTAATGCAGAAGACAGACAATAAGCAAGCAAATAAGCAGTTCATGTGGTAAATGCAGAATAGCAAATGTTGGAAATCTCGGAACTAATAGGTAGAGGAGGACCAAGTTTATTAGCCAATTTCAGCTTTCAGGACCAGCTTAAGGCAAGAGAAAAGGGAGCAAGTGGAAGGTAGGAAGGGATGGGGAGCCATGGTTGGTGGTATAGTGGCTTCGAGGCCAGCTCTGGCCTCTGTCTTTTTCCCTGGAGTCACCTCTCCTTTGTTCTAAGGATGATTCTGAAACACCACCTCCATCCAGACTTCTGTTGAAAGGCTAAATCAGAAAGTTTGCATAGTTTCTGGGGGTGAGGATGGTCACCTCCAGAGAGGGGAGGGAAGAAGAGGTATGTGTTCTTAAAAGTTGGTGAGGATGCAAACGAAGGGGAACCTGCTTACACTGTTGGTGGAATGCAAGCTGGTGCAGCCACTCTGGAAAACAGGATGGAGGCTCCTGAAAAATAGGGGCGCTTGGGTGGCTCAGTGGTTGAATGTCTGCCTTTTGGCTCAGGTTGTGATCCTGGGGTCCTGAGGTCAAGTCCTGCATTAGGATCCCTGCAGGGAGCCTGCTCCTCTGCCTATGTCTCTACCTCTCTGTGTGTCTCTCATGAATAAAGAGATAAATAAAATATTTTTTAAAAAGTTGAAAATAGAGCTACACTAACACCCAGCAATTGCACTACTAGGTATTTATCCAAAGGATAGAAAAATAGTGACTTGAAGGGGCACCTGCACCCCAGTGTTTATAGCAACAATGTCCACCTTAGCCAAACTATGGAAAGAGCTCAGATGCCCATCGATTGATGAATGGATAAAGATGTCACACACACACACACACACTGGAATATTACTCAGCCATCAAAAGGAATGAAATCTTGCCATTTGCAATGACATGGATGGAACTAGAAGGTGTCATGCTAAGTGAAATAAGTCAGTAATATGTGGATTTCATAGGATTTCACTCATATATGGAATTTAAGAAAACAGATGAACATAGGGGAAGGGAAGGAAAAATAATATAAAAACAGAGAAGGAGGAAAACCATATGAAACTCTTAACTCTAGGAAACAAACTGAGGGTTGCTGGAGGGGTGGGGGCGGGCGAATGGTGTAACTAGGTGATGGGTAATAAGGAGGCACGTGATGCGATGAGCACTGGGTGTTCTATGCGACTGATGAATCCCTGAATTCCACCCCTGAAACTAATAATACATTATATGCTAACTAACTTGAATTTAGATTTAAAAAACAAGCATCTAGAGCAAAATAAGAAGTATTCTTGTAATAAGAGGATTGTCTTTTGTTTTAGTCAAGCACTCCCAATGAAATCTGTCGCTTTTTACATTTATCAGACTGAATAAACTAGAGAAGTTTCACAGTTTTATTCTTCAAGAGTTGAGCAATCTTGAGAAGGATATTCAGGTTCTGAAACACCTTGAGGAGGATGTTCTGGTAAGTAAGCTCCACACTTAAAAAAAAAAAAAAATCCTCTGTGACTGAAGAGGATCTGTTCCAGAGTAAAATAACAAAAACTTTTGTTCAATTTTAGGAATTTTGGGGGAAACAGTCTGATGATTTGAAAACATTCTGTGATCGGCAGGTGCTAAGGTATTTTTTCCAAAGTATTCTTTCCAGACGTATCTTAGCTGAAGAATGAGGGTAGTGCTTTAGCTATAGTACGGGTGGTTGATGTTGATAAGGCTGCATGTAGGTAGCTATGAAGCTGCATCTCTTCAAACCAATTACTTTTGTGGCACTCCCTGAGCAAAGAGCGTGGCTTAGGGATCAATTTAGAAGTGTAAATTTTGCAAAGCATTTAACAAGATCATACAAATATCAGTGATTTTGATCTAAAATGTTTTATTTTTAAGCAATATTTCAAAAAATTAAAATGAATATATTCTGAGAAAAATAGATATATATTGAATTGTGGTCTTATAGAATATATATGTATATTAAAAATATATATTTATGTGTGTGTATTAAACAATGAATTTATTCTGCTACACATTCTTTTCAGTGTGATTACTCAGTGAACATTCTGAGGCTGTTGTTTCTATTGGTGTGGAGTACTGTCTGATTCTCTGAAGTGTAGGGAATAGAGAAATGGGAAAGTAGAGTCCTCCACTCCTCTGCTTCTGCCGTTCGAGAAATTCTAGGGTTTTTGTTTCTGCTTGAATAATAAAAAAATAATCGTCATAGAAATCTGTAATTGCATAGAGCTTTATCTACCAGTTCAGAATCTGCTTCTGTCACGGAAATCTAAATCAAAGTTTTAGAAAAGGCTATTATTCTGATCACACCACAGAAAGTTTAAAATTTGAATTATCCATTCTTCTGTTACACCAGTTAACACAATTAATAACAATGAGAGTATGTAAATAGATTTTCAAAACTCTTTCAACACACGATTAAAGGAGATATCCTTGTATAACCTCTTCACTGAATGCTTCCAGTTGGTTGTGAAAGGTTCTCAAACTTCTTGGAATGAGGATCTCTTAACACTTTGAAAATTTATTCAGATTCCCCCAAAGAGCTTTTGTTTCATGGGTTATATCTATGAATATTTTCCATATTAAAAATTGAGACTGAGATTTAAAATATGTATTTATTTAAAAATAACGGGGGCACCTGAGTGGCTCAGTGGGATCTGCCTTTTGTTCAGGTCATGATCCTGGGGTCTTGGGATCGAGTCCCACATCGGGAATCCCCACGGAGAGCCTGCCTCTCTCCCTCTACCTATGTTTCCATCTCTCTGTGTCTCTTATGAATAAATAAATAAAATCTTTTTTAAAAAAATAACAGAAGTATGCCAACAAATTGGACAAACTGGAAGAAATAAATGAATTCCTAGAAAATTAAAATTCACTCTTCCAAGAGTGAATCAGAAAAAAATAGAAATATGAACAGACCAATTACTAGTAATGAAATTGAATCATAGTAACAAACTTGAACTGGTAATTTAAAAACCCAGTATTTTGATTACTACAGCTTTGTAATATAACTTGAAGTCTAGAATTGTGATACCTCCAGCTTTATTTTTCTTTTTCAAGATTGCTTAGGCTATCTGGGGGTCTTTTGCATTTTCATACAAATTTTAGTGTTCTAGTTCTGTAAAAAAAATGCTGTTGGCATCTTGATAGGAATTGTATTAAATCTGTAGATTGCTTTGGGTAATATAGAACTTTTAACAATATTTGTTCTCCCAACCCATGAACATAGAATATCTATTCCTTTGTATCTTCAATTTCTTTCTTTCATCAATGTTTTATGGTTTTCAGAGTACAGATGTTTCACCTTTTTGGTTAAGTTTATCTGTAGGTATTTTATTATTTTGGGTGCAACCGTAAACAGGATTGTTTTCTTAATTTCTCTTTCTGCTGCTTCATTATTAGTGTATAGAAATGCAACAGATTTCTGTACATTTTGTATCCTACAACTTAATTCACCTATCAGTTCTACTAGTTTTTTTAATGGAGTCTTTAGGATTTTCTACATATAGTATCATATTATCTGTAAATAATAGAAGTTTCACTTCTTCCTTACCAATTTGGATGCCTTTTTTTTCTTTTCTCTTGCCTGATTGCTGTAGCTAGGACTTCAAGTATTATGTTAAATAACAGTGGTGAGAGTGGACATCTTTGTCTTACTCCTGATCTTAGGGAGAAAAACTTTCAGTTTTTCCCCATTGAGTATGATGTTAGCTGTGAGTTTTTCATATAAGTCCATTATTATATTAAGGAATGCTCCCTCTAAACCCTTGTTTTTATCATGAATGGATGTTGTACTTACTCAGATCATTTTTTTTTTGCATCTACTGAAATGAGCATATGGTTTCTCTTATTGTTGGTGATGTATCACATTGACTTGCAAATATTGAACCACCATTGCATCCTAGGAATAAATCTCACTTGATCATGATGAGTGCATTTTCTATGCTGGATTACAGCAATACTTAGAAATATTGCTAATATTTTGTTGAGGATTTTTTGCATCTAACATTCATCAGACATATTGGCCTGTAGTTCTCTTTTTTTGTGTGTGTCCTTATCTGGTTTTGGAATCAGATTAATGCACAATTATATGGTCAATTAACCTTGACAAAGGAACCAGGAATATGCAGGGGAAAAAGACAGTGTCTTCAACAAATGATATTGGGAAAACTGGACATCTACATGCAAAATAATGAACCTGGACCACTTTCTTACACTATACACAAAAATAAATTGAAAATGGTTTAAGGACCTAAATGTAAGACCTGAAACCATAAAAATCCTAGAAAAAGAGCACAGGCAGTAATTTCTCTGATACCAGTCATAACATCTTTCTAGATACATCTCCTTAAACGAGGAGAACAAAATAAAAAATCAAAAATAAACTATTGGACCTCATCAAGGTAAAAAATTTCTGCACAGTGAAGGAAACAACAAAACTAAAAGACAACCTACTGAATGATAGAAGATATTTGCAAATAACCTATGTGATAAAGGCTTAGTATCCAAAATATCTAAAGAACTTATACAACCCAACATCCAAAACAAATAATCTAGTTAAAGTGAGCAGAATCTCATGAACAGACATTCTTCCAAAGATGACATACAGATGGCCAATGGATACATGAAAAGATGCCCACCATCACTTATCTTTAAGGAAATGCAAATCAAAACTACAAGGAGATACCACCTCATACCCGTCAGAATGACCGAAATCAAAACCACAAGAAGCAACAAATATTGGTGAGGATGTGGAAAAATAGGAACCCTCTTGCATCTTTGGTGGGAATACAAACTAATGTAGCCAACATAGAAGACAATATGGAGGTTCCTCAAAAACTTAAAAATAAAACTACTAATTGCATATAGACTAATTGCATATAACTAATTGCAAATAGAATACTAATTGCATTACTGGAAATTCACCTAAAGAATACAAAAACACTGATTCAAAGGAATACATGCACCCCAATGTTTATTGCCACATTATTTACAATAACTACTTTATGAAAGCAACCTAAGTGTTCATCAATAAAGAAGATGTATATGTGTACAGTGGATTATTTATTCAACCATAACAAACAATGAAATCTTGCCATTTACAACAATGTGGATAGATCTAGAGAGTATACTGCTAAGCAAAATAAGGCAAAAAGAAAAAAAAAGAGAATCATAGGCTGTTATCCCTGATTGATATGGATGCAAAAATCCTGAAAAAATATTAGTAAACTGCATTCAACAGTATATTAAAAAGATTATTCACCAAGATCAAGTGGGATTTATTCTAGGAATTCAAGGATGGTTCCATATGCACAAATTGATAAACAGATATACTACATTTATAAAATGAAGGATAAAAATCATATGATCATCTTAGTAGATGCAGAAAAACCATTTGACAAAATTCAACTCCATTACTGATTTAAAAAAAAACTTTCAAGTGGATTTAGAGGCAACATGCCTTAACATAATAAGGGCCATATATGACAAACCCATAGATAGCTAATATCATAATGATAAAAAACTGAAAATGTTTTCTCTAAGATTGGGAACAAGACAAGGATGTCCACACTCAATACTTTTATTCAACATAGTAATGAGAGTCTTACCCAGTGATCAGAAGAAAAAGAAGTAAAAAGTACCCAAATTGGTGAGGAAAAAGTAGACTTGTCACTATTTGCGGATGACATGATACTATATCCAGAAAATCCTAAAGATTCCACTAAAAAACTATTAGAACCTATTTATGAATTCAGTAAAGTTGCAGAATATAAAACTGATATCTATAAATCTTTTACATTTATATATATCAATAATGGAATAGCAGAAAGAGAAATTAAGAAAACAATCTCATTTATGATTACATCACAAAGAATAAAATACCTAGGAATAAACTTAACCAAGGAAGTGAAAGACCTGTCCTCTGAAAACTATAGAACATTTTTGAGAAAAATGGATGACAAAAACAAATGGAAAAATATACATGCTCATGGATTGGAAAAATTAGCTTTGTTAAAATGTGGATTGGATGGATTGGAAGAATTAGCATTGTTCAAATGTACATACTACCCAAAACAACTTACAGATTCAATAGAATCCTTATCAGAATACCAACAACATTTTTTCACAGGCATAGAACAAATAATCCTAAAATGTATATGGAAACACAAAAGACCCTGAATAGGGAAAGCAGTCTTGAAGAAGAAGAGCAAAGATGGAGGTATCACAATCCTGGTTTCAAACCATACTACAAAGCTATAGAATTCTAAACAGTATGGTACTGGCACAAAATTAGACATATAGCTCAATGGAGCAGAATAGAGAGCCCAGAAATCCATGCTTGGTCAATTATTTTGTATGGGAAAGAATATACAACAGGGAAACGACTATCTCTGCAATAAATGGTGCTGAAAAAACTGGACCACATTCTTACACCATACACACAAATAAACTCAAAATGTATTAAAGACCTAAGTAAATGTGAGACCTGAAACCATAAAACTCTTGAAAGAACACCTAGGCAGTAATCTCTTAGACATGACCCTGTTCCTCAGGAAAAGGAAACAAAAACAAAAAATGGGACTGCACCAAAATAAAAAGGTTTTGTATGGCAAAAGAAACCATCAACATAATGTAAGGCAACTTACTGAATGGGAGAAGATACTTGCAAATGACATATCTGATAAGAGGCTAATATCCAAAATATATGAAGAATTTCTACAACTCCACACCAAAAACAAAACAAAAACAAATGCTCCAATTAAAATATAGGCAGAGGACCTGAATAGACATTTTTCCAAAGAAAACATGCAGAGGGCTAACAAATACATGAAAAGATGCTCAACATCACTAAAACTAGAGAAATGCAATTCTAAATCCAATGATATATTACCTTATACTTGTCAAAATGGATAGTATCACAAAGAAAGAAATAACAGGTGTTGGAGAAGTGGAAAAAACAGAACCCTCATGCACTGTTGGTGGGAATGCAAACTGGTGCAATCACTATATATATATTATTATAGGTTTGTCTTGGATTCCCTCTCTTAAAAAGTTTGTCACCATATATATGTGGGTCACAATTCAGATGAATGAATCTTTTGCACTCATGGCTGAACATATTCAAACGACTGGTTTATAAAAAATAGAACGACTAATTTAAAAAATAACCCAAACAAACCTTTACATATTGATGTAACAGATTTTTATGAAAAATAACCAGACTCTTCAAAACAAACATGTGGGTAGAGTAGCATTGTTTTATTTTTTATTTTTATTTTTTAAAAAGATTTTATTTATTTATTCATGAGAGACAGAGAGAGGGGCAGAGACATAGGGAGAGGGAGAAGCAGGCTCCATGCAGGGAGCCCGATGTGGGACTCAATCCCAGGTCTCCAGGATCACACCCCAGGCCAAAGGTGTTGCTAAACCACTGAGCCACCAGGGCTGCCCGCACTGTTTTATTTTTGCAAATCTCTTTAATGCCAGACTTCACAGGAGGTAGCTTCTTTGTCATATTTGCTTCTGAATTAAATCTGTTGTGATATCACACATCATGTAATGGAAAACTCCACTGTGTATTTGTGAGAGTAAGAATGAAAAAAGCAAACGAGATCTTAGCATTATTTGCCATTATTACAAAAATAGTTTTGGACTCACAGAACCTTTGGAAGCTTAGAGATCTCCAAGAAAAGCAGTCTCTGAAGGGTCCCAAACGTTCACACTCTGCGAACTGCTGATATAAAGCAATGTTATATTAAAAATTAGGGAAGTTTATACCCCTTCGTCTTCTGAAACCTGGGGAATTATTTTGACTAAACTCCAGATTTTAGATAACTGTATCTTCAGTTCATTACATTGTAGGATGTTAATTACTGTTTGCTTTCATCTCCTGATAACAGGCCCCTTGTGTGAATTTAGAATACCTTAAAGAACAAAAATTCCTCCAAAATATACATCTCCCTGGGTTTTGCCTTTGCTCTCTTTTCTTCCAGACACCTAAAGAAACCACCCTGCAGCTTGCAGAAGAGAGATGATGGTGATGATGCTTGTAGCTCATGCTGGTGCTTACTGGGCACCAGGCTGCAAGTATCTATGAGACTTAGGTTAACGAGCTTGACTGAGATCCAGTATCTGGATCTGGTTGGTACTCAGTGTCTGTCCTTTTTGCATATCAGTGGTGGTTTTATGTATTTTGCTAGGGAAATGCAAAGGACATTCCTCACACGAAATTATTTCAGCCCCTAGCACAGGGCTGCAAGAACATAGATATTCAATATATTTTTTTTATTTTATTTAAATTTATCTATTTCTCTCTCTCATCTATCTGTCTAACCAACCAGGATATCAGGAAGGGATTCGTTACTTTGAATGGTTGTCATGAAATATCTCTACCTATATTGTAGGCTAGTAGCTTTGACAGATACAATGCATAAAATAGAATCAAGTAAAAATATTAATAGCTTAGGCTGATATTCTGAATTGGCCATTGATCCTCTTCAGGTAACATCCAAGTAATGCAATGATCTATGAAATAATTCATGTATGGACATATGTACATATATGTGTATTCTTATTTTTAAATCCTCTAATATAAATGTAATGAGATAGACTAATTTCTTCCAGGCTTAATCCAGATCAGCCTTCATGAGGAAAGCCAAAGCCCCGTGTCACTACTGCATTCATGGGGTAGGTACAAAGGTTTGCTTTGATGGAATTGGAGTGAGGTAAGTAAGCCCTAAAGGATACCCTAACACTTTTAAAAAATATAACTGAATAAAATGGACTTCTGCATAGATGGGAGATATTCATAGAAGAAGTAGACAGTTGATGAACTACCATGCAGATGTGTATGTTCAGATTGTGTCACAGAGGAATTCTACTGGTCCCTTAGCAAAGGATAACTTTAGTGCTATTGACTAAATGGGACTAAAGGGTAACTTTAGTCTTATTCTAACGCATGGATGAATGAAAATTCCCCAATTCTTTTTATTCATCTTGCATTACAATGCCAAAATCAAATGAAAATTACACAAAGAACAATAGAGCAATCTCACTCAAAAGCCAAAATTCAAAGTAAAAATATTGGCAAACATCATTTCACAGCTTATTAAAGGAATAATATGTCATGATCAAGGGAGATTTATTCCAGTAACACAAAAATGGTTTGATATTAGGAAATCCGCTAATAACACCAACTGCTAATCGATCTAGGGAGAAAAATCACTATGATTCTCCCCATAGATTTCAAAAGGCATTGAGAAATTGCTCATCTGTGTTTAAATTTGTATATACCCACACGAATAGTCATAACTAGGGGCCTCTGGGTGGCTCAGTTGGTTAAGCATCTGCCTTCGGCTCAGGTCATGATCCCAGGATTCTGGGATCAAGCCCTGCATCCGGCTCCCTGCTCAGTGTGGAGCCTGCCTCTCCCTTTCCATCTGCCTTGCCTCTCTCTTGCTTTTTCTCAAATAAAATTTTTTAAAAAGTCATAACTAGATATTCTGTAGTATGAAAAATCTCAGTCCAAAAGCCACTACTATGCTCAATAGAGAAACTCTAAATGCATTCCTAATTTCAGGACCAATCGATGGGGAGACTCCGGTAACATAAAGATGTCAGCTCTCGCAGGGTAGAGAGCAGAGAAAGCAAGCTCTCTCCTGACTCTTCTTAGAGCACTAATCCCACTTGTGAGGGCTTCATCTCATGACCTCATGTCATCCTGATTACCTGAGGCCCTACTTTCTACATCACTTGGGTGCGGGGGGAATTGTAGCAAGTGAGTGGGGCACAGACATTCCATCCATAAATGGTGTCAATGGATTGACAGTTTCAGTGGAATCAAAAGTTAGGACAGTGAGGGAAGGAGAGCAGGTGACTTGGAAAGGCCCAAAAAGTGTGGTCAGAAAATGAGACGTTGAGAATCAAGATTTCAGAGGTGGGAAGTGATGCCAAAATCTGAGAGTGCATAGCTGTGGTGAAACTGAAGAAAATGCTAGAGGAAGTGAGGAGATGAGGAGATGAAAAAAACTGAGAAGCCACAGCATGCAGATGGGTCCCTCATGACAGAGTTTCAGTCACTACTAAGGCTGATGGGAACCAGGGCCTGGTGGACAGAGGGGCCAGGATGATGGATGGACGTGGTTGGCATAAACATCAGCAGAGAGGTATCTAGAGGAGAGGGAGTAATCCCCATGTTTGATAGTTTAGAGCAGGAGAATATCTACCTCTCCACCTGGCCAGGAAGTAATAGGACAACAGAGAAAAAAAACCCACAAAAACTTTTTAATTGACAGAGCAAATTGGGGAACGTGGTACCCTAAGAAGTCTGCTGCATTTTAGTGAAAAGTAGACAGGGAGACATTTTCTTTCAAGAAGAGGCAGAGGACGTTGGGGAGCAGACCAGAGCAGAGGAGAGCTATAGGCATCACTGGATGAGAATGTGGCTGATAAGGGCTGCCTTTCAGCAGCTGCGAAGGCAGAGAGGGATTTGAGACAGGATGGGACTGATTCAGAGAGATTTTTAAAGGAAGGAGTTTGTAGAATTATTACCGTGAGCCCTAATGTTTCCCCAGATGGCCCAGCAGCTCTTGGGGCTATCACTCTACAAGCTTTCTGCCTGTGCTGTGAGCCCTACAGAGTAAATAAACATGGAATGTGTTGAACAACCACCAACTATTCTGTTCTTGGATACAGTCACTTTACAGACAACAACCTTCTTGCTCAGTTGGGTTCATTGAACACTGTATTGTTCATTTCCCCAGTATTTAATAATGGGGCTTTTTATACAGCTCTCAACTTGAAAGTCTCTTCGACCTAGAGGTCTAAGGTAGGTTCCCTAAGTAGACCGTGTCCAACTATATTTTCATAAGAATAACATTCCATGTATCTTAAGCTATAGTGTTATTTTAAAAACATGGGTTTTGTTTCATTTTATTTGAGAATAACTGAAGTGGGTGACTTTTTTCTTAAATTCCAGTGTCCAAAGTTGTGCTTTGTGATTTTTGACACAGCAATTCCACTTCCAGGAAATTATCTTCAGGATTAGATTGGACTGTGCAAGGATATGTACAGTGGTGTGTATCACAAGCAGTTCTAATAAGGAGATGTTGGAAATTGCCTGAATTTAGAGCTTGGTTAAAGAGATTGATAGATTTACATGATATGCCACATGGCCATTACAAAAAAAGAATGGTTGGATTAGATTAATTGACTTGGGAAGACATTTAACAGTGAATGAAAAGTAAAAGCTTGTTGTAAAGCATTGTAGACCACATGATTCCATTTGTTTTAAATGCTAATGAGGATGTATATGGTCATTCACTTAAGAAACTGCTGAGTCTATTAGGTGCCAGGTACTGTCTCTGATGCTGGGGCTGGTAAGGTACCCAAGAGGTCCTTGACTGCATAGAGGGTGCGCTTTAGTAGGATGGACAGACAGTGAAGAGTAAATAGGTAAGAATTCATGACAGTGGTAAATGGTCAGAAGGAAAAAAGTGTGATGACAGAGACTGATGGTGTAGAAAGAGAATCAAGTCAAGCCTCTCTAAGGAAGTGACATATGAGCTAAAACTCAAAGGGTAGGGTGGAGCCAGCAACCGGGAGACTGAGGAAGGGCATTTCAGAGGGAATGGCCAAGACCAATGTCTGAGGCCAGAAGCAGCTTGATAGGTTCTAGGAATTCAGTGAGGGCCAAGCAACAGGAGTGAGGGCAGAGTAGTATGAGATGAGACTGGCGGGTGTGCTGTATGTGGGGATGGTAGTCACCTTATGGGCTGTAGAAAGGCTTTATTCTAGTGGCAGTGAAAGGTGTAATAGTAAAGGAATGCTATTTAAAAAATTGTTTATTTATTTATTCATGTGAGACAGAGAGAGGCAGAGAGAGAAGCAGGCTCCCTGCAGGGATCCTGATGCAGGACTCAATCCCAGGGCCCCGGGATCATGACCTGAGCCAGAGGCAGATGCTCCACCACTGAGCCACCCAGGAGCCCCAGTAAAGGACTACTTTTAAGGCCCTCTGCGTATGTGTTGAGGTGGGAGATCAGGTGACATGAGCAACAGAAAGGGAGCTTGAAGGGTTTCCGATGAGTCGGGAGGGGTGTAGGACAAACTTCCAGGGTTGGGGTTTGAGCAACCCTGATGGACATTGGTGTCACTGAATGAGATCGTGGAGACTATGAAAGGCCTGGTTTAGCTGGTAGGGTGATGAGGAGGTTGTGGATAAATATTAAAAGCTTAACTTGGAACATATATTTGTGATTTCAGCATCTGAATGGAGTTGGCAAATGAGTGGATAGTTGAGACTAAGACTCATGGCAGAGGGCAACATGAGACCAGTGGAGTTGACTTAGGGAGTGAGTATAGAGAAGAGTGTCAGGAGAAAATTCTCGGGCTGTGCCGATGTGTTAAAGTAACTTAACTTTTGAGAGTTTGTGTGTGTATCTATATGCATGTATACACCGTGAGAGGTCTAGAGTCTAAAAGGTATCACCCAAATGTCAACTGTGGTTATTTCTGTGTGGTAACATTTTGGGTGAATCGTCTTACCCTAGGCTACTTCTGTATTTTTAGAATTTAGTCCAAGATATGAATTACTTTTGTGGAATGAATTTAAACAGTATAACATTTATAAAGAATTATTTTTCCCCTTTCCCTAACCCTCCTTATCTATGATCCTGAGGTAACTACCTCTTTATAGTTTGACAGCATTTAAGCATTGACAGACGCTTTGTCCATATATATAAATATATGGACATATAAATATATAATATATAAATATATATGTTCATACAAGGATATGGACAATATCCTATAAATGTATAAATGTCCACATAAGGATACATATGTGTATTTTTAAGTGACACAAAGCTATACTAAATATTAGGCATGTTTTTGTTCTCTGAGCAAAGTAGGATTCCTTTCCAAGTCAGTAATATGAGTCTACTTTTTAAAAATTAATTGTAAAATATTGTTTATGGACATGATATAACTTATACATTTGATTCCCTATTTATGCACATCCAGGCTATTTTAAATTACTATGGCAAAAAGCTCTGTCATGAATATCCTTTTACATATATCTTGAATTACTTTATCAGGAAAAAATTATTTTCTTTTTTTAAAAAAGATTTTATTTATTTATTTGAGAGAAAGAGAGAGCATGAGCAGAGGGGAGGAGAAGAAGGAGAGGGAGAAGCAGACTCCCCACTGAACAGGAAGCCCGACTTGGGGCTCCATTCCAGGACCCCGAGATCATGACCTGAGCTGAAGGCAGATGCTTGACTGACTGAGCCACCCAGACACCCCAGGGAAAAATCACTGTTTTCTTTTGGGAAAACAAAAATAGCAAATCTTTAAATCAAAATAGCCCTAAAAGAGGATATAGAGAAAAGACTAATCTGAGTTAAGAATATTAGCCTAATTCCCAGCCCTAACAGAGAATTGGATCAAATGTGAATTAAACGTACATGTTACAATTGGTCACATGTAACCGGAATCAGGCTCCAGCAGCTAAACCAAGTAGGGGTTTTATTTTTCCCCGGTAAGCAGCAGCCCAGAGGGAAAGAGGTTATCCAGAGCTGGTGATGCAGTAGCATTAAGTAGCCTTCAGAGACCAGGTTCTTTTAGCTTCCTGCTCAGCCATCCTTCCTATGGCTTTAAGCTTTATTTTTTTTCTTTTATAGATTTTATTCATTAATTCATGAAAGACAGAGAGAGAGAGAGGCAGAGACATAGGCAGAGGGAGAAGCAGGCTCCATGCAGGGAGCCTGATGCAGAACTCGATCCCAAGACCCTGGGATCATGCCCTGAGCCGAAGGCAAGATGCTCAAGCACTGAGCCACCCAGGTGTCCCAGACTTTGGGCTTTAGGGTGATTGTCTGCTCTGCTTCTAGGAATCTCTTCTAGACTCCGGGCAGGAAGGGGGGAATGAGTGAAAGGTAAAAGATGTGTGCCAGGAGAATCTACCTTCACCTTCCTTTCATCTAACTTAAGAAAACAGTTTTCATGGAAATGAAACCAACAGACATTGGTCTCCATCTTACTGACCTGACCTAGGTCACTTGGCTCTCCACAGTGGAAAGGGAATATGGGGAGAATTGTTTCTCAAATAGTGGATTCCGTACATAAGAAAGGGAGGACAGATGTGGAGGAAGTATCTAGTAATGTCTGTCAAGCCTGAATCAAATTACATGTGCTGAACAGAGAGAAAAAGAGAAATAACTTAAATCGCACGGGTCATTCTGTTGGCCATTCTTGGCCATGAGCATGCACCTTGGTGTTTGCATCAGGATGGGAAAATCTCTTGCTTCCTGGGCGGCAGCTCTTATCTACCTCTTGTTTCATGAGGAGTGAACTGGGTTCAACCCAGTCTGGTTATTAACAACGTGCATTTTTCATACAGCATGACCCCGACAGCCAGCCCAGCCACTGCCTTGGGCTCCGTAAGAAGTACCTGTCTTTCCTCCAACACAAGAGGGAAAAATAACCTGCGGTATTCAACTATAAAGAGATAGGCACAGCTTCAAAGCAGCACATGTTTAAGCCTTTTTTTTTTAAAGGTTTATTTATTTGAGAAAGAGAGAGAGAGTAGAGGGAGAGGCCAAGGGAGAGAGAATCCCGAAGCAGACTCCCTGCTGACTGTGGAGCCCCATGCAGGGCTTGATCTCAGAACCCTGAGATCATGACCTGATCCAAAATCAAAAAATTTTGAGCCAATCAAAATCAGGCTGCTTAACCAACTCAGCCACCCAGGAGCTCCGGCTAAGCCATTTTTGAGGGTGATTTTGACTCTGGCCAGCTTTTTACCCGGTGTACTGACTAGCTACCACTGGTCACAGAAGATGCAACTTCACTGAATGTCTGAGTTAGTGATGTAGCTGATTGGTGATGTTCATGTTGGCTCTCTGAGGGACAAAGAGGTGGGCATTTCAGGCTGAGCTAACTACTGTTCTCTTTCTTTTTTCTTTCTTTCCACCAGTCTGAGCCACCTGGAGACGATAAATCTGGCTTGGACCACAGAGTGGCGCTTTAGTGCTCTGGCTTCTTGATTTTGTGATCTCCAAATGGGATCCCTGAGAACTGCTGCGTCGGAATAGAATGGAATAGGCTGGTAGTTTGCAGTTGTGTTATTGTCCATTTGTTCCCAAAGTTAACCTTCTGTATCAAAGTGTAGCCAGAAAATAGGAGGTTCAGGATGTTTACCAACTTAGAGTATTGCTTTAAAAAAAATTTTTTTTAAGTAAAATTGATTTTGAGAACGGTTCTCAAGTTATATGGGGGGAAAAATCTGAACATCTGTATACATGCTATTTGTATATCTCTTTGGGGGAGAATTTAATTTGTGATGAAAATAGCTCAGATGAAAATGGTGCTGTATTTTGAAACAGTTATTATTTCACTTGATCTACAAATAGTCTAGTTTCTCCAGCACATTCACATAACTACTAGCTTTAGCAGAGGAGAAATACTCATGTGATAATTATAAAGGCTCTAATAAAGCCTGCATGTATGAAGACTGCCTATACAGTTGAGTGAATTTATTTTGGGAAAATAAAATCCATCTAATTTGAGGCTGTTTACAAAGTAACTGTTCATAGATTGGATAAGTGCAGTTAAAGACTGCAGGCTGAAAACAGTTTATTCAATGTAGAACATAACTTAGTGACATAGTATATCTTATGTATTATGTATTTAATCTGCCCAAAACAGATGTTTACAACCCCAATGTGTCACCTTTTTTTATTTAGAATTTTTTAACGAGCTATGGTTTAGTCTATTGTAAGCTTTACAGAGCACACGAGCGCTTTTTAAGCCCAAAGGATCCAATTAACCTCGTTTAATTTGGGTATATGCCAGTTAGGGCTCACAATTCCTGGTGACCTGGAATTTTATGGATTTCAGCACCATTACATTGACTGTCTTCACTGAAGGACATCTACAGGATACATAGGACTTCTGATAACTGGTAGACATATATTGGGGAACTGTTGTCTCTAAAGCCTTCAGTTAGCTCATGTGGTGGATGTTAGTTAGGACAAATAAGGCATGATCTTAACTAGTAAGAACTTAGTCTTAAGACACCAGGTAGCTGAAAGATCTCCAGGCCGTGTGAGACATGTGCCATAAATGAAGTGTAAACTGAGCTCCAGCAAGGTTGTGAGGGAGGGACAGGTGCTTTTGGTTGGCGTGATCAGTGCCAGCTTCCTGGAGGGAAAGCACCGGTTGAGCTCTTGAAGGATGGGGAGGGTTTTTCTAGGGTTAGCAAAGAGGGTCTGATGTGACTAGTGGAACAAACAGTGCAGGGTTTGTTCGAGGCTGGAACACTTTGGAGTGTTAGTGGAAATTAAGTTTGTGTAGGCCCAAGCGGAAGTGCCTTTACTGGCTTGATTAGAAGGACTTTATTCTGTTGGTAAGAAAGAGTCCTTGAAGACTCACTAGAGAACGATAAAGGACCATGGTGGTTTAGGAGAATTAGTCTACTCTCAGTATGAAGACCCAGTGCAATCCACTAGGAGGTTTTAACAGCAGTAAAGGCCTCCCCTAGGACAGAAGGTAAAGGAGGGAACAGGTGTGCTAGCTCGTGGCAGGTATAGGGTTTTTCCTTTTTTTTTAGAATTTAAATTCAATTTGCTAACATACAGTATATCATTAGTTTCAGATGTAGTTTTCAGTAATTCATCAGTTGCATATAACACCCAGTGCTCATGACATCCTCTGACCTCCTTAAATGGCCATCACCCAGTTACCCTGCCCCCCACCCACCTCCCCTCTAGCAACCCTCAGTGTGTTTCCCAGGGTCAAGAGTCTCTCATGGTTTGTCTTCCTCTCTGACTTTTTTTTATATTCCGCATATGAGTAAAGCCATATGATAAAGGTATAGGATTTAAGAGCTAAGTTTAAGGATGAGCTGATGTAAGTTGCAAAAACTGCAAACTTGAGATATTGGGGGATATCTCTTTAGAAATATTCCCCCAAATGTGTTCAGTCAATGTCTTATTAGCGAATCCTTATTGAGCAGTAACTGTATGCACAGCCAAGCTCTATGCTTGGTGTTGAGGGTTCAGTGTTACTGTCAAGGGACTCCAGGAGCTAGCTGTCTGATGGGGACAATTACACAAACCCGGAAAGCAGCAGAGACCAGCATCCACCTCCTCTCCTGGGAGCAACCCTCTGCCCACCTCAGTGAACTCTGACCAAGCTCTGGTGTTGGCCTCATTTGTGGTTTCCAATATTCCTCTGCGCTGTAACCTTCCATCTTCCATAGTGGCTCTTCGCAGGATTTACTGTGGTCCTCACCTCCCTTCCATACAGATTATCTCCTGGCTTTTGTCCTGTGTGTGTGTGTGTAGTTGACACGTACGTTAGTTTCAGTTGTGCACTATAGTGGTGTGACAACTCTGTACGTCATGCTGTGCTCACAAGTGTAGCTACCACCTGTCCCCATTACACCACTATTAACAGTACCATTGACTGTATTCCTTATGCTCTGCTTTTTATTCCTGTGACTTACTCATTCCGTACCTGGAAGCCTGTATCTCTCACTCCCCTTCACCCATTTTGCCCAACCCCCATCCTCCTCCCCTTTGGCAGCCATCTGTTTGTATTTATAGTTCTGATCTTTTTGTTCATTTATTCATTTTTTTTAAGATTCCATTTATGAGTGGAATCATACGGCCTTTGTCTTTCTCAATCTGATTAGTTTCACTTAGCGTGATACCCCCAGGGTCCTTCCAGGTCTCAAATGGCATGATCTCATCCTTTCTCATGGCCATGTACTATTCCATTGTATATGTTTTATATACCACATCTTCCTTATCCATTTATCTATTATTTTTTTAAAAAGATTTTATTTATTCATGAGAGACACAGAGACAGAGAGAGAGAGAGAGAGAGAGAGAGAGGCAGAGACACAGGCAGAGGGAGAAGCAGGCTCCATGCAGGGAGCCCGACATGGGACTCGATCCTGGGTCTCCAGGATCACAACCTGGGCCGAAGGTGGCACTAAACTGCTGAGCCACCTGGGCTGCCCCCATTTATCTATTATTGATGGATACGTGGTTTGTTCCCACAAACCCAAACCCCTGTGCTTATGAGCTACAATAAGCACAGGGGTGCATATATCTTTTCAAGTTAGTGTTTGCCTTTTCCCTGGGTAAATAACCCCCAATGGTGTAATTATTGGATCAGACAGTATTTCCATGTTTAATTTTTTGAGGAGTTTCCATGTTCTTTTCCACAATGGCTGCACGAGTTGACATTCTCACCAACAGCGCACAAGGGTGCCTTTTTCTCCACATCCTCACTTATTGTTTCTTTTTTGATTTTAGCCAATCTAATAGGTGTGAGGTAATATCTCAGTGTGATTTTGATTTACATTTCCCTGGTGAGGAGTGATGCTGAGCATCTCTTCATGTATCTTTCAGCCATCTGTATTTCTTCTTTGGTGAAATTTCTATTCAGGCCTTCTATTTTTTAATCAGATTTTTGTGTGTTTTTTTTTTGGTGTTGCATGAGTTCTTTGTATATTTTAGATATTAATCCTTTATTTGATGTATCACTTGCAAATATCTTCTGCTCAATACTTTGTCTTTTTGTTTTGTTGATGTTCTTCTACTGTGCAAAAACTTTTTATTTTGATTAGTCTCAATAGTTTATTTTTGCTTTTGTTTCCTTTGCCTTAGGAGACATAACTAGAAAACTAGAGCTATCGTTGATGTCAGAGAAATTACTGCCTGTGTTCTCTTCTAGGATTTTTATGGTTTCATGTCACATTTAGGTCTTTAATTCATTTTGAGTTTATTTTTGTGTATGGTGTTAGAAAGTAGTTCAGTTTCATTCTTTCACATGTAGCTGTCCAGTTTTCCCAGCACCATTTATTGAAAAGACTGTCTTTTCCCCATTGTATATTCTTGCCTCCTTTGTTATAAATTAATTAATCACATAAATGTGGGTTTATTTGGGGGACCATTATTGTGATCCATTGATTTATGTGTCTGTTTCTGTACCAGTAATATACTGCAGATTTGTAGTATATTTTGAAATCTGGAATTGTGATCCTCCAGCTTTGTTCTTCTTTCTGTTCTTCTTTTCTGAATATTGATTTTGTCATTCAGTCTTTGGTTCCATACAAATCTTAGTAGTATTTGTTCTAGTTCTGTGAAAAATGCTATTGGTATTTTGGTAGAGATTGCATTGAATCCATAGATTGCTTTGGGCACCCTGGGTATTTTGATAATATTCTTTAGACCTGTGAGTATGGGATATCTTTCCATTTGTTTGTATCAACTTCAATTTCTTTCATCAGTATTTTTTTATAGTTTTCAAAGTATAGGTCTCTCCTCTCTTTGGTTAAGTTTATTGCTAGGTATTCTTTGTGGTGCTATTGTAAGTGGTATTTTAAAAAATTCTCTTCAACTTTGTTGTGTATAGAAATGCTACTAATTTCTGGGTACTACTGAATGCATTAATTCTAATATTCAACTTTAGTGAATGCATTTATTCCAGTATTTTCTAAGTACAGTATCATATCATCCGCAAATAGTGACAATTTAACTTCTTTACCAATATGGATGCCTCTTATTTTTGTAGCTCTTTGTTCCTTTCTTCTCTTGCTCTCCTTCTTTGTGGCTGATATGTATCCATCGTGTTCTATTTGGCTTTCTTTCTCTTTTTATGTATCTATCACGGTTTGGGGTTTGCAGTAACCATGAGGTCCATATATAGCATCCTAAGTAAATAGCAGTCCTTATCATTTTGATGGTAATTTAAGTTCAAACACATTCTTAAAAAGAAAAAAAATATTTGTCTTTTCCTCCTTCTCTTCCCTTTTTACTCCCTTCTCCACATTTTATGTGTATGTTGTAATAGTTTACGTCTTTTTATTCATCTTTCTTATGTCTATGGCCATTTCCTTTTCACTTAAAGAGGTCCCTTCAACATTTCTTGTAAAGCTGATTTAGTGGTGATAAACTATATTTTGTTTGTCTGGGGGATGTTATCTCTCCTTCAAATCTGAGTGATAACCTTGCCAGGTAGAGCGTTCTTGGTTGTAGGGTCTTTTTTTTTTTCTTCTCAGCACTTTGAAAACACCATGCCACTCTCTTCTGGCCTACAGAGTTTCTGCTGAAAAATCAGCTGATAGCCTTATAAGCTTTTCCTTTTAGGTACTTTTAAGATTCTTGCTACTTTTAAGATTCTCTCTTTACCCTTTGACATTTTAATTATTATGTTCCATGGTATGGACCACCTTGGGTTCCATCTT